GCCTTCTTTAAAATTCAATGCATATGTAAAGAAATATACGGTAACCCGAATTTACCACACTCGCAAAATCGCACACAGCCAACCATACACCCAGTATGGTATCGCGATTCGCGATTTTGCGCTATCATACTGGGTGTATGGTCGGCTGTGTGCGATTTTGCGAGTGTGGTAAAATCGCATAACAGCAAAATCGCATAACAGCCGAGCATACACCCAGCAGCGCTGCTGATGCCTGAACGGTATGTGGAATGAAGTGGGCGGGCATCGGGAGGCCACTATGGCACAGGGCAAGCACTATGGGCAGTCTATCTGAAGTGTACCTGGCGTATAAGACGACCCCCCACTTGGAGGCATATTTTTCAGGGCCAAAAAATCGTCTTATACGCCGGCAAATACGGTATACACCTTCAAGATGACTTAAATGGTTAACTTTGGGTTATGTGAATTTTATCTAATAAAAGTTGTTTTGAATAAAGATTATGTGGTACAGTGAAAACACATTTGCAAATCTACATTTGCAACGAAAATATTGAGTTACACCTAGTGATTTCCATGTCTAAATGTTTTATCATCCTCTTTCTTTTCTTCAGGATGCCAGGAAAGCATGCAATGATACAACACTTGTTCAGGTAAAGTCGTCGTCCCCGCCCCAGCTCCAAGCCCCAGCCTGTTTACTTTAGTGATTCACATGAAACAGCTTTGCACCAAGGCAAATGACATTCAGATTCTTTTCTGCTAGTATTAAATTGAAAAAATGAGATTCCTAAAATCACTTCGTAATTTTTCAGATGCTGTACAAGTGCTTTTAAAAGCACACTTGTTAAAAGAGAAGGCCGTGGAAAATAAATACTATAAAATATGTAGGTTTTTTTGTTTCTTTTTAGGGAGCTTCTTGATTCTTTTAGATATACTCTGATTAAACTTTCTTATTAGGTTAATTAACATTAATAATTTTCATTAAGAAATGTTTTATGTGCTTTACAAACATAAAACTGGCTTTCTTACAGGCAGTTAAAATTATAAATGTTTTACTCTTTGATCATCTACCATTAGATTTTTATTTGGGCTGTTTTTTTCCCCTAAAGTTGGGAGGTATGTCTATTCTTTTCAGTTAATAGTCTACAGAAGATATTCTTACTAGAAGGGATGCATGTAGCATAATTTTAAATCAGTTATACTTTTTCTTGAACTACATATTGATCCTATAATTACTCTGTGGAATTATTTATATTGAATTACCTTCAGTCGCTCTAAATTGGTTTTATGCCTGATTTCTTTTTTTTTTTAGTTTTTTATTTCAAGAAAAACGATTTTAAATATAATGTTACATGCAGTAACCCTTAATATTTCAAGAAAAACGATTTTAAATATGAAGTTACATGCAATAAACACCAATTCAAGAAAAATTATCACATATAATAACATTACATGCAATAAACATTAATATTTCAAGAATAAAAGGATTTTAAGTATAATAAAATTACCAAAACTCTACTAACATAGTATGATATCACAAAAGTTGTAGGAAATATTAAAAATCTGCAAATAACAGGACTGCTTCTATTATATTGTAGCATATTTTTCCCCCTCTGGCTCTATTTTTGTTCATCAGTTTATGTTGTTCATTATACATCGTATGATATCACAAAAGCTGTAGGAAATAGAAATATTAAGCAAATAACAGGATTACTTCTATTATATTCTAGTATATTTTTCCCCCTTTGGCTCTATTTTTGTTCATCAGTTTATGTTGTTCATTATATTCCACAAATGAGTGAGATCATATGATATTTATCTTTCTCTGACTGGGTTATTTTGCTTACATGATGCTTTAAAGTCTATTTTGTTGGATGTGAGTACTGCTACTCCAGCTTTTTTTTTCCTTTTCCATTTGCATGGAAAATTTTTTTCCATCCCTTCACTTTCATCCTGTGTGTGTCTTTTGTTTTGGGGTGGGTCTCTTGTAGTCAGCATATAGTTGGGGCATGTTTTTGTATCCATTCAGCTACCCTTCACCTTTTGATTGGAGCATTTAATCCATTTACATTTAGGGTTATTATTGAGAGGTACTTATTTATAGCCATTTTAATTCTGTAAGGCTAGGTTTCTCTTTCTGTTTCTTCTTCTCAGCAATCCCTTACAACAATCCCTTTAGCATTTCTTGTAATGCTGGCTTGGTGGTGATGAACTCCTTTAACCATTTTTTTTTTTTGTCTGAGAAGCTCTTTATTGACCATCCATTTCGAATGATAGCCTTGCTGGATATAGTAATCTTGGTCTCAGATCCTTGCTATCCATTACCTTGAGTACATCATGCCATTCCCTTCTGGCCTATAGAGTTTGTGATGAGAAATCGGGTGTCAGTTTTATGGGTGCTCTTTTGTAGGTAACACTTTTCTTTTCTCTTGCTACCTTTAAGACTCTCTGTCTTTAATTTTTGGCATTTTAATTATGATGTGTCTGGTCATTTATCTCTTCTTCTGGAGAATTCTCTAGTTCTTTCATTTGGGGTTTTTTTCTTTGTTCCCTCATTTTGGATGTCTGTTTGGGTTTGTGACTATGTTTAGGTAGATCCTCTACACCTCTCAATCTCTAGTGCAGGACAGTGTAAAGGCTGTTTCTGACTAATTGGATCAGGCAAAGACTCAAAGCCTCCAGAGACCGCCACTGCCTACAGAAGTGGTTCTCAACCTTCCTAATGCCACGAACCTTTAATACACTTCCTCATGTTGTGGTGACCCCCAACCATAAAATTATTTTCATTGTTACTTCATAACTGTAATTTTGCTACTGTTATGAATCATAATGTAAATATCTGATATGCAGGATGTATTTTCATTGTTACAAATTGAATATAATTAAAGCATAGTGATTAATCACAAAAACAATATGTAATTATATGTTTTCCGATGGTCTTAGGCAACCCCTGTGAAAGGGTCATTGGACCCCCAAAGGGGTTGCGACCCACAGGTTGAGAACCGCTGGCCTGCAGACTAATAGGATTCTGATTTGAATTGCCCCCAGGCTATCATTCTCAGGTGTGGTGAAAGTTTTTTCAACAGGGTGGGGTAGTTTCTTCTGCCTGGAGGTTGTTACTTTTAATCTCTTAAGTGGCCTCAGGGCAAGATGTTTTCCAATTGGGTGTGTCCACTGTCTTCTAAGTGGGAAAGATGTTCTCCACTGTATGAGGGAATGACTCAGCCCAGGAATCTTGGGGTGTCTGCCTTAGCTCTATTCCCCGAGTCCCCAGTCCTGCTCTCACAGCTCCAGTCTGCTTCACCCTCCCTCTGCTGGAGCACAAGGTGGGTGGCTTCAGAGGGAATTTAGTGTGTTGGCCCTTTAAGGGGGTGCCTGAACTTTCAGCTGCCACTCCCTGGCAGATAGCACCCCACTGCTTTTCACAGCTAGATGTTATGTGGATACCTTCCTCAGTTTGGTGCTCTCTGCTGGGGAGCCCATCTTTGGGATTAGATCCCAGAGTTCTCAGTGGCACCCCCCCTACCCCCCCGCCCCAGCTGAGTTCTCTCTCTGGGGCTTCAGTTGCCTGTCTGTGGGTGCCTGGCCAGCCCTTTCGTGCCTCCGTCCCTCCTACCAGTCTCTGTGTGGTCTCCACCTTCGGTCCTTGGGTATCTGGGTTCTCTCTTGTGAGTTTTCCATTGGTTATTCAGAAAGTCTTTCTATATTTCAGTTGTAATTCAGCTTGTTCCTGGGAGCATGTCTGTTCAGCATCCTCCTACTCCGCTGCCATTTTTTATCCCTTCTTATGCCTGATTTCTTGCCTATTAATTGTTCTTACTTTATTTTCTGAGCTATGTCTAAGGTAAAGAATAACATTTATGTTGCTTTCTAAAGATCACATCAAATATGGATTCCGTGGGTCGGATACAAATGCGAACAAGACGTACGCTGAGGGGGCACCTCGCTAAAATCTATGCCATGCATTGGGGCTATGACTCAAGGTTTGTACCTGCTATCTCCAAACTACCTGCAGAATTACATTCATTAAGAATCTCCATTTGCATTTCCTTTAAACAATTTTATAGTTAGTAAACAAACTATATTTATGAAAAGTTTGCAGAAAATGCATCCAATATGAGACTTTGCTTTCATTAAAAATAATCAGTGACACTTTAAAAGTTTAGAAACCTTTACTATGGAAATAAATTTCTCTCTCAGAAATATCCATTATTAAATTATCCAGATAAACTGTTTAGGGTTTCTTTTCTTTGCATGAGGTGTTAATACTGTTGTTTACTATGCCAAAAGCAGTTCAATTGTATATTAACCTTGCACTTTCAGTTAACATACAAATATTGTTGAATATAGCTATGTACAAGTTCCTGGATATTGCTGTAATTATTACCTAAATTCACAAAGGATGGAAGTACATATGTATTGTTAGCTCTACAAATTGCATTTTTCAAGATGCATTCTCTTTTGTGAGACTACTTGGTTAATTCAAATAGCAGTTATTTTTCCATCTTTTGCTTTGGTTTGGCATTTATTTTCTGCTACTCCTCAGACAGTTTTCACTTACTTGATTTCTTGTATGTGTAAATATCTTCTCTACCCAGGTAGTGGAGGCCTCAAAGGTAGGAAGTATTTTCTGTGTGTACCCATAACACTACCTTCACATCTCAATTGATACTTTTTGATCGAATGAAATACGGTTTTTAGGCTTACATCTACCCCATTGTCATTAAATTTATATCACTAAACACAAGCCAGTCAGCTAATACTTACCAGAATCTTGAAGAAGAATCCAGAATGCTGTCACCATGAAAAAGTTGAATCATAACCTGACATTTTTAGGAAAATGTCTAAATTTTGCTAAGTTTTTATGTTATGATGAAAATTTTGGCATACAGAATACATTTCTTTTAAAGTTGGAGGGCTGTTTTCTGGTATCAAGTTTTTAATTCAAGAAATTATATATATATATTTTTTTTTCTGAACTGTTCTACATTAATTCCATGCATAACTAATCTAAACTACTTTTTTCCTCTAAGTGTCAAATTATTTTTGTTTGTTCCTCTAGGCTACTGGTCAGTGCTTCCCAGGATGGAAAACTAATTATTTGGGATAGCTATACAACAAATAAGGTAGAATTTCTTAATCATTCTCTTAAGTAACCTATTATTCGATTTGATGTTCATCAGTTCTTTCCTTTATTCTGTAATTTTCTTCTATGATAAATTTATTCTATTTATTTTCATCTAGATCCTCTCTTGAAGCTTAGGCTTTATTTTTAATATTTAGCCCCATTTTCATGCCCAAGGACAACTGCAGGAATATTTTTCAGTGTGTTTTACTAGACTTTCATATTTGAATATTAGAGAAGAGTGTGCATCCGTTTTACATAGAAATAATTTGCTAAACAAATTCCAATTCCCCAGCGTGACCATGACCCTGAGATTTTTATTTCTGGCTGTGGGTGAGGAGGCTTTTCGTTGGTCCACTCTAGGCATTGCTGTGAGTGGGGGCTGCTCAGAAGAGACAGCGGACAGCTTGCTTAGAGCTCTTGCTGGGGAAGCCAGCAGGTCCCCCTCACGTGTCCACTGGAAGGAATGGCCGACACACAGGTGCTGAGTGGTAGTGGAAAAGCTTCAGGGGAACTTTCACAGGTCAAATTCCTTTAGGTTCTGTGTACGCTTTTATTAAAGTTTAAAAAGTATTGTTTTGTGAAGTAAACAGTATCTTCCGCCTGTTGAGAATTTAAAAGTAGCCAAGACAGATTTGCACTGTAACAGTTCTTCTACTTTAATTGGCATTAAGCATGGGCCTTTCAATGATATTTTCCTAAAACCAAAAAAAGAAATGTGTATTGAAAATATTATTTTAAGTTAAGTGAGAGCACAGTCATCACACACAGTGTATTGATTCTGTGTGGACCACTTAGCCTTAGAAGTCCCATATACCTTAAATTTTACTGCCTGACCTGCAAATGATTGGTGTTGGGTAAGAAGGCACCAGATAGTGATATGAATAGGTAGTGGAAACTCTTGCTATTGTTTAAATTCGAGCCTATGATTAGAGGAACCATCTCTTCATGGAAGAACCATATTTAATAGACTCTGATACTTATATTGGAGGAAATTCCTCTTTTGCACAGGACTGCAAAAACAAAGAATTTTATTACGTTTTTTACCTTTAACATTTTACATTTAATATTTTAAGTTGTTATATTGCATTGAAATATCCTTGTTGTTTCTTCTCTTAAAAGAATAATTTCTGAAAAGAGCAGTTAAATTGAATTATTTGTAATTCAGAAATAGGTATTTTAGTGTGCATTAGTATTTTATTTTTCAGTGTTCTCTTTCCCAAGCCATTGCATTCTTTATTTTACCTTAATTTTTAGATGCATTTAATTTTTCATAATATTTGCTTCTTTGTAAATAGGTAGGAAGATGAATGACTGTCGTTCCTTAGTGATGGATTTGGTGCCTTTCATTTGTTCTGCAGATGCATGCCATTCCTTTGAGGTCCTCCTGGGTGATGACCTGTGCTTACGCCCCCTCTGGTAATTACGTGGCTTGTGGAGGACTGGACAACATCTGCTCTATATATAACTTAAAGACCAGAGAGGGAAATGTGAGAGTGAGCCGAGAGTTACCGGGTCACATAGGTGAGCTCCACTGAATATTGTCCTGTTTTTCTTAAAAAGGTATTATTTTTGTAAGGGTGATACATTTATTGCAAAAAATTTACACAATAATGAAAATACAAAAATAAAGCAAATATTTTTTTGTATTCTCTGCAACCATATAACATCACAGGGTTTTGGCATATATACTTGATTATGTAATTGAAAGTATATTATTAAGACTAGAGCCCCGAATTCGTGCACCAGTGGGATCCCACAGCCTGGCCTGCGGTATTGGGCCAAAACCGGCTCTCCGACATACCCCGAGGGGTCCCGGATTGCGAGAGGGCACAGGCCAGGCCAGGCCAAGGGACCCCACCGATGCATGAATGGGACAGGGAGGGATGCAGGAGGTTGGCCAGCCTGAGAGGGACTGCGTGAGGGCTCCAGGGCATGTCCAGCCTGCCTCCCTCAGTCCCAGTCGGCTGCACCTCAGCAGTAAGCTATCCTATTGGTTGGAGCATCTGCCCCCTGGTGGTCAGTGCATGTCATAGCGAGCTGTTGAGAGGCCTTAGCATATCTTTAGCATATTACACTTTGATTGAACAGCCGACGGGACACTTAGCATATTAGGTTTTTATTATATAAGATAACATTTATAAAGTGTTTTTTCACTGTGATAGCACATTGCTTTATTCTCCAGAGTGCACAAAAAACCATAATTCAGTGGTACCACATTTGGTTAGCAGTGTTTATGATGATTTTTGGCCACTCATCGGGTTTCTGCCTCTCTGAATTCCTTGCAATACTATTTACCATGCTTTTTACAAAATCTCCACAATGGCATTTCCCTGCCATTTTCATGTTTGAAATACTGGTGAATTCTGAACATTCAGGTGCTACCTTTTTCATGAAGCCTTCACTGGGGTGGTGGTGCTAATTTCTCACAAAACTTTTAATCTTTCTCCAAGGTACTTAATCCCATCTGCCATAGGTTATAGACATTCGAGAGGAGTATGTCTCTCAGGTAATTGTAGTAGGTGGGAGGGACTTCGTATTACTCAGGTTGTAACTTTTAGAGAGTGTCCAACATGATGTCATTGACGTACTAAATACCTAAAAGAGTTGGTTGATAAAATTTAGTTTCAGATAGCATAGAGTTTGAAGTAATTAAAATTTGAACTGTAGAATGTACTAAAAAACACTGTTGCCCAGGTATTAAATACTTAACAATACGTATTAGTATTTGTCCTTGGCTGGATAGCTCAGTTGGTTAGAGTATTGTCCTGATACACCAAGGTTGCAGGTTTGATACCAGTCAAGGCACATGCAGGGAGCAACCAATGAATGCATAAGTGGAACAACAAATAGATGTTCCTCTCTCTCTAACTGTGTATGTATATTAGTATTTCATATGCTTATGGGGTTATTTGATCAATGATAAC